CTTATCAATCACTGCACATCCCACAACCACTGGTGCCTTTGTCATCAAAATTAGGTATAGGACAATTTAACTTTTCAAATGACTTCAAATTTCTAGAATTGTGCCGCTCCAGGTGGCTGCATGTTGGAGCAGCTCTGTTACTTTCATTCTGAGATTTTGCTTTTGGAAACTTTAATTCCTCTTTTTCTGGATGTAAATCACATTTTTTGGATGATTGTTTCCTCTGGTATCAGATGCTGTGCAGCTGGAAGGATTTTTACTGAAACTTTTTTTAGTTTTGGACATTTGTTATGATGCGTAACCATGGCAACAAGGCAGTTTTCTACAACCAGCAGCTGCTTAACATCTCAAAAGCTCAAATAATATCTCAACTACAGCCCCAAATCTCAAATGAGTTGAAAAGGATGTTCTATGGATGCATTCTCATCTACCTGCCAGCTGCGCTCAAGTGCCTGACCACTGAGATCCTGGAACTAGCAGGAAACACAACTCATGACAGCGGAAGGACACGATCGTCCCTCGGCACCTACAGTTGACTGTCCACAGTGACGAGGAGCTCGGCAGCTGCTGGGAGGAGTGGCCATCATTCTGGGAGGAGTTCTGCCCGGCATTCGGGCGGTCCTACAGCCCGGGGGAACTGAGAGGTCAGCCGAGTCTGGGTGGACGTCTCGAACAGCATCTGCGGCCAGTTTCTTAGGATCCACTGTGGGATGGACCTTTACAAGAGATCCTTCCTGCCTACAGCCATCAGCATCTATAACATCTCTTAATGAAATGAGGTTAATGAGTTACAAGAACAAATCATTTCCCTTTGGGATTAATAAAGTATTTTAAAATTGAATTGAAAACCAGAGAGGATGAAAGATATAAAGCCTTACTTTAGTTGTCACTGTCAGGGAATTTTGTTCAAGATTCATGGATGTTTTTAACTACTATGGCTGAGATTGTTAACTGCCCATGAACCATGTGTTTGAGTTACCAGAGGGTTCTTTACTCTCTCAGAGAGGGCTGAATGAAGAGCTGATTTGTATGACTAGCCATACTGGACAAAAGCAGGACGTACAGACCCGCGCACGGCCGTTCAGTTGCGCGTGTGCATGTACAGTATGACCCACGCACGAGTGTGTATGAGCAGCGCGGCGAGAGATTTAAGGAAAAAAAAAACTCAAAATGAGGTGAAAACGTCATGATCCACTGTTTCTTTGTTTTTTCTGATCCTGCTTCAGTTTTAAATGCAAAAAAATCCAAACAGAAATTTTGAAGTTAAAGACAAGACTGTCTTATTGATTTTATTACACTAAATAATTAATAATCACCTTCATGTTAAAAAGTTCTGACTTTAAGCATGCTCTACTCTTATAAATGAGCTCCTCCTTAAAAGGTTACTGAAGTAGTTCATTAAAATAAGATGTTGATTATAATCTTGACATCTGAAAATAAGATAAATAAGATATCTTGAAAATAAGATGTTGAGATGATTAAAATAAGATTAAAATTATTATCCATGCTGCTGATCTCATGCTGCTGATTTATTTCATGTTGCTGTGTTCGTTTGTCCTCATCTGCTCACACAGTTTGTCCTGCTCTTGTTTGGAACATTGTTTTGTAATATTAGTGCTTAGCGTATTATTAGTTTAGCGTATTATTAGTTTAGCGTATTACTTAGTTCATGTCTTGGATCTTACTACTGTTTTTCCTTTACAATTTATATTTTTGTTGGATGTAACTGGGACCCTGTGTACATAGTTCCATTCCACCTCATGTACCACATGTGATGTGAATGACAATAAAGACACTTTGACCTTGACCTAAAAAAGTAATTAACTGATCAGAACATTTAGTATTTATTTATTTATTTTATACAGACAAAAATATAAAAGTAACTCATTCTTCCGAATGGGCAAAGTGGATATACCTCCAGGTGAGTAAATGTTGTAACTTACAATCTATGAACTGATGTGACAGGTATTAGTAAACCATTAAAACAAACCTAAGACTTATCTTATATTTTTCTTCAAGGCTCAGTTGACAATGACGGACCTGGAGCTGCAAGCTGGTTATCTGGACACCAACAGAACACCTGAAT